GTGTCTCTGGCACTATTTGTCTTCACTATTGACAGACACTGTCACACAACCCACCACACGATGCCTGTCTCTGAATGGCGAAGCTAGAATGCAAGTTAAGTGTATTAATAGAAAAAACAACTAGCATCCCAGCATATAAAAATAAGCAATCGAGATTACTTTAAAGAAAAAAAAACCCAAACAAAAATTGTAGGGCTGATCATTTAATTTACATGTTTATAAACAGTTTCCCATTTGTATTTTGCCCACCCAACATAAGTTCACATGCTACAATAAGCAGTGTTTTGAAACAAACGTTAAAAAACTTAAAGTATTAACATTCAGATAAATGGATATGGGGAAATTACTTATGCAAAATCTGTGAACTCATATTCACCAAATTTATTCTCCTTTTACAAACATGATCTAATCCATAAACCAGAATACTCTCAGGATTGTGTCCTTGCCCAAAGTGGAAAATGCATTCTCAATAGTGAACTAAGGCTGAAAGAAATTGTCATCTTTTAACAACAATTTTCTTTTCTCATTTCTTGTGCCATTAATGAGTCTTGCATTCTTCCCCACGTTATTCTTACCTTCTCCCTTCAACAAGTTATGAATTTATATTTTAAATAAAAGTTGCTACCTATAAAATGTCTAACCCTACAGGCTCTATTTTGAAAGCAATTAGAATTACTGACCAAGGGAAAGCGTTTGTTGCTGACTTACTGTTGATCATCTACTGCCATTCAGACTGCAATATATGGAATAATTATCCTCAAGTTTTTATGCTGAATTTCCTTAAATCATTTTAGAATACTTAATAAAGAAAGCCTTTTGAAAAAGACTTCTTAAGCTGACACTCAAGAGTAATTAATGCTTTATTTTTTTTTTAGCTAAGCATAGCATAAAACATGTACTAGGTATACATCAAAAAGACTCTTCGCCTGGACTTGCTCAAACTCCAAATGCCTGCAAATGGCCTGGCACTGGCCAGGGTGAGGTCCAAAATTGGGAACTCAATCCAGGTGTCCCATGTGGACAATAGGAATCCAATTACCTGAGTAAGTACCACTGCCTCCCAGGGTATGCCTTTCTAGTAAGGCATTAGCAGAGGGTGGACTAAGTACTCAGGCCTCCATACACACAAAGGAAACTTGGATGAAACAAGGCTCCTGTCTTTGGCCTGGCCTGCCCTCAGCCATTGCAGCCCTTTGGGCAATGAACCAATGGATGAAAGCTTTCTCCTTTTAATTATGGGAAGAATGAATTTTATTGCAATGAGCTGCATAAACACTGTCACGAACACACATTTGCATAATGGATAAATAATGACTATCATCTGATTCATACCTGTAAGTAAATTAATCAAACATCTGATATTTAATATAGTCCATATCTTCATTATTTTGTAAGACTATCATTTATTGAGCATTTTGACATACCCTTTTAATTATCTTCTTGCTCACATTTTTTAAACTATGAAATTAAACCTAATATCTACATAATCACTACATTCAGCTAACATTATAAAACATGCAATTAAAAAAAATCACAAAAACAGGTAAATTCTTTTTGACATAAGTTATATCAATATTCTGTAAACATATCATTAATCTTATTGATAATAAGCCACATTTGTACATTTTTTCAGTGAAATTGTACAGAACATATAAAAATAGAAATGACATCTACTGTATTTAAGTAATTGGCCTACAGGGCTGGGCGGTGTGGCCAAGCGGCTGAAGTCCTCGCCTTGAACACCCTGGGATCCCATATGGGCGCTGGTTCTAATCCTGGCAGCTTTTCTTCCCTTCCAGCTCCCTGCTTGTGGCCTGGGAAAGCAGTCGAGGACAGCCCAAAGCTTTGGGAGTCTGCACCTGTGTGGGAGACCCAGAATAAGTTCCTGGATCCTGGCTTCAGATCGGCATAGCGTCAACTGTTGCGCTCACTTGGGGAGTGAATCATTGGACGGAAGATATTCCTCTCTGTCTCTCCTCCTCTCTGTATATCTGACTTTCCAATAAATAAATAAATCATATACACACACACACAAAGGAGAAGAGACAGAGAAGATGATCTTCCGTCCAATGAGTCACTCCCCAAGTGACCACCAATGGCCGATGCTGTGCCAATCTGAAGTCAGGAGCCAGGAACTTCCTCCGGGTCTCCCATGTAGGTACAGGGTCCCAAGGCTATGGGCCGTCCTCGACTGCATTCTCAGGCCACAAGCAGGGAGCTGGATGGGAAGTGGAGCTGCCGGGATTAGAACTGCCACCTAAATGTGATCTCAGTGCATGCAAGGTGAGGACTTTAGCCACTAGGTTACTGCACTGGGCCCTGAGCCTTACTTTTAATTACCTTTGTACTGGAACACAAACTGATTTCTTAAAAATGATGAGAAAAAAAAAATTCATATTGATGGACTCTCAAGTATAACTCCCAGATACCTACTCATGCACAGAGAGAAATCATAAGTAAGTAAGTTTGCCTTCAACTAATATGATGAGAATTTCTTAGGAACCTGTATACAGTAATAAATAAAATCTTTGGGGAGAAAACGGCTCAACCCTTTCATACTGTTCACCCAGTATTCTGGATTATGGATCAGCAGCACCAAATTGATTTCTTTAGTAATACATGATGAGGGGTAAAATCCACTTTGGTGAATCTGAGAAACATATCTTTAATAATTAAATGACAAAGAATGTTCCATGAACACCCATATGCCCAGCCCCTAACTTTTAAAGTTTAAACTGACTTAAAACTTGTGAAACACAAACCTTTATGGAAGAACTAGAAGTCTGTTCCCACCGGGCCCTCATACCTGACAGCAGCCAATCCGGCTCCTTCACAATTCTGAAGAATTAACTATATCAAGAGTCATCATTTTTATGCATTTCATATTTAAACAGCAAATGCTATATAAAAATTCATACAAATTTAAAGAAATGTGCTTTTTGCTAGAAATGTGGTCTTTCAGTCAGGAAAACATTGAATAACTTGACAGTATGTGCCAAATTTCTTGTTGACTATTATACTGCTATGCATATTAATATTCCAAATAAAAGGTGAACCAAATAATTATACTCCCAACTTTCCCTAATCAGTATTATGTAATTTAAATTCCCTTATATGTAAGAGGATACAATAAAGGACATGACGTTAGAGTCTTAGAAATGAAGTATGTTGGTTCTAAAAGTAATTTATTTATCTAAGGAAATAACAGAAGACAAATTGTTTGGTTTGATCAATGACTGTGGTGAATGTAAGAAACCTGTCAAAGTTATCTCCTTATTATTTTTACTTTTACAATGTCAATAATTTTAAGACATTAAATTATTTTAAATTCTTCCTGTGATCAAGTCTCTTATTTTCATGATTGTTCAATTCATGGCTTCCAGTCTAATTTATTTGGAGGGGATTTTCTTAACTACATTTGTAGAACCAGCGGAGTAGTAATAAATATTTCATCAGTGACTCAAATTCAGTAACTTTTGGTATTTATATGTAAAAATTTCTAAAAGTGTTTGGTATGATTTGAAAAAGAAAAAGTTGTTTTTTTTTTTCAAACCCAGCCAACATTTCTCTTTTTTTTTCTTTCTTTTTTAAAAGGAACTGGATTTACTGTCAACAGACATTAAAAAGCACAGAAGAAACAGACTTTTAGTTTTAAACAGATTCAGTATCTTTAGAAAACAATCTCCAGAGATATAAAAGAAATCAGTTAGTCAATTTCTATATGTGGATTTAAAGTGAAGCATTTCATAAAAAATATTTCTTTTTCATTTTATCATGACACAAATTACTTAAAATTACAGAATATTTACAGCCAATTTAGAATTCAGTAGATATTAAAACGAACCAAGGAAACTACCAATTTTATTACAAAAAAAATTTTCACTAATTCACAATTAAATCCACAGAAACTGTTAGAAAATGTCTGGCAACACATGAACAGTGAGCAGGGCCAACAAATTTCTTTGTCACATTTAGAGTTTTCCTAACCTCAACTTGAAAGGCTTCATACTGCACAAATAGCTTGGGAAAGACTGGTATGCAGGTTAATTGATACACAGTTTAAGGCATGAGAGAAAAAATAACTGAAATTACACTATATAGTACCAAAACTGAAAACAATGCTCTGATGGACTTTAACATTTTGATAAATAAGTGCTTTATTATGCAAGAATCTTCTCATTGAAAGAACAGATAAAACTTTAGAATCGGTATTCTTTCTTTCCTTTCTCTAAAGCAAATATATTTAGCATTCTATTAATCCAACCTTAAAAAAAAAACTATAATTGGGCAAACTAGTATGAGATGCACTTATACTATTTGTCTATTATTTATAAATTTTCTTAGCTTGTCAAAAATATTTCCATTCAAAACTAAAATTAAGTAAGTTTACATAGTTTATGATTTCACAGCTCAATAGAATTAAATTAGGTAAACTTCAGACATTGTTTTTCTATACTTTTGTCCTCAATTAAAAATGTCTTCACATAAACACATAAAAATGTCTATAGAGTATATTAAAACCTTCCAATATTTTCAATGAATTAAAGGTACACATGAAGTCACATATTTTTTAAATGTAGAAAAAAGGTTACAGTAACATATTACAAGCAGAAGAGCCTTGAACGCTTGAGTTCTTTTTCAGACCACACAAAATAAAACATATTCCTTTAATCTTTAAAAATAATTATTAAACAGGAACTCAAATACAATTTTCTATACATAGCTTGGTATTTAACCTTTTTCTGTGCACTGAACAAGAGTTTTAAAATGACTTCCATATTTGAAGAAAAGATCCATTTTAGGACAGGGTACTTATGCCAATGTGCAATTTTAGTAAATAACAATTACATTAAGAAAATTCCACTGAAAATTTTAAAAGTTAAAAGCATGTATTTCAAAATTTCCTGTAACAAACTCTCAAATCACACTTTTTGCCAGCACTGTTCATGTTGGCCAGATTATACTCTAGTTTTCTTCAGTAAGTAAAATGAAATGCATACCAGCAGCAACTACAGCTGGAGGAGGCGAGCCTGCCTCACCACCGCTGGTCTGACTCATGGATGCTACAGATGTTTCTCTAGACGGAGGCAACTGTAACTCCTTTGGGAGTAGATCATAGACAGATTCTGTGGAAAAAATGTTTTAGAAAGCGTCAGTCAACAACCTAATTATGTATTATTTACAAAATTAACGTCATGTCATCTTACATATAGTAAATACTTTTTTATTGTATAATATTACTGAGCAGGAGAATGAATTTTCCATTACTCTGCCTTCTGTTTTCTTGTTGACTTTATTCCTTATGTTTGAGATAGTCTCAAAAAAAAAGCTACTAAACCTCAACACTGAATAAAAATTAACAGAAAACAAATTAAATAACCCAACATAGTCAAATATCTTCTTTTATAAAGCATGGGAGCAACTTAACACCTTTTATACATGAGACGGCAATACATATTCCTAACGTTCAAGGAGCGACACAAAGTTCATGGAAAAAAAAAATTAAAAGATAAAAATATAGGAGAGAGTATTTGGCCTAGTGGTTAAGACAACCAAATCCCATCTCAAACGGAATACCTAGGTTTGATTCTTGACTACCTTTCCACCAAAATGGAGCCCAAGAGGCCACAGTGATGGCTCAAGTGATTGGGTTTCTACCAACTATGTTAAGGACCGAACTGATTCCTGGTTCCCAGGTCTGATCTAAGCCCTGACCGCTGTGGGAAGTTGAACAAACGGATGGGGCTCTCTCTATTACCAAATATAACACTGCACAGTTTTCTTCATAGTACATCCCCACAGAAATAAATAGATGAATAGATAATTTTTTAAAAAGCATTTACTTATTTGAAAGGTAGAGTTTCAAAAGACAGTCAGATTTTCAACTGTTTGTTTAATTCCCAAATGGCTGCAACAGCTGGAGCTGGGTCAGACCCAAGCCAGGAGCTTCATCTGGGCTTTCCATAACGATTCGCAGCCCCTAGGACTTAGGCTATCCTCTTCTACTTTCTGGATCTGAAGCTAGGACTGGGCATGCCAGCATTGTAGGTGATGGCTTAATCCACTGTGTCACAACACTGTCCCCTCTCTGAGCTTTTAATATAACTCACATATCAGCTTCTTGGGGGACAGCACAATGGCTCAACTGGCCACTCTCCATGCACGGTATCCCATATGGGCGCTGGTTTATGGCCCATCTGGTTTGTGTCCTATCTAGCTCCCTGCTTGTGGCCTGGAAAAGCAATGGAAGGAAGATGGCCCAAATCCTTGGGACCCTGCACCCATGTGAGAGACAAGCAAGATGCTCCTGGCTTCGGATCAACTCAGGTCCGCCATGTGGCCACTTGGGGAATGAATCAGTAGATAGAAGATTTTCCCCTCTGTCTCTCCTTTCTGTAAATCTGCTTTTACAATAAAATAAATAAATAATAAAAAATTTTAAAAACAACTAAACTGGCTTTTTCGAACGTCTTTAGCCTAGTCCTGCTTCTTTTTACCTAATCCTTTAGCCCTTATTATACTTTGTTATTTCCCTTCTATAAAAGCTAAAAACAAAATGTCATGGCATTGATCAAAATGCTAGTAGCATACTGCTTAAGTATATTGTAGAAAGATGTCAATTTAAGAAAGTCTAGGCAATTTTCTGTTAACATAATTCTGTTAACATAAATTAATATAAGCACATGAAAAAGGAAATGAGGAAGAAAGGGATGTATGCTCAGAAGATAAAACATCTTACATTGGTACAACAGACAGACCTTAGGGCAACTGGAAGGAGAAAAAGGCACAAAAAAATCATCTCCAGACACTAGCAGAAAATGGACACATTCCAACATTGGGCAGGGAAGAGGACAACTTAAAAAAATGAGATGTTTTGTCAGCTTGGTCATTCTGTAAACTCCAATTGATCTGTTTATGTCACTGATTATTTCTGAGTGAATTTAACCTCCTAGTTGTCACTGGCGGGTGGAGGACAATTTCAATACAGTGCATCAAGCACAAGCGGATGGATATCCTATCCTGACAGCACACAACAGCAACAGAAAAAGGGAAAATGGGTACATTAACAATGAGAATTATTTTATTCCTTCTCAGTTGTGCTCTCTGCCATTCTATTGGTTGATCACTCAAATCACAGACCTCATTCTATCGCTCACTCCAGTTAAAGACATAAAGAATATAAACTATTTTACTTTCCTCTAGAACAGTCTAGGAAGATAAAACAATTGCAGAGAGCAACGTCTTTTCTTCTCTCTCGGTAAAATAACAACAGCAATGACACAAATACAACTGAGCATTCTGAAAGGCCAGACACTGTGAGAAGCTTACAGTATACACATTCTCATTTAATCGCGAAACAATTTTATAAGTTTTTCCTAAAAACATGAGGCTCATATTTTACAATAAAAACAATACGTATGCAGTAAAACAAAAGAGGGAAGCAATAAATATGAAGTTGAAGACAATGGCTTCCTTCAGTAGGAGACAAGGGGATAGGACAAAGGAGGGGCAGAAATCAGTTGGCTAACAGTGGGTTCTTGGGTATTTTTTTTTTTTTAGCTAAAATACACAACAAAAATCAAATAAACACACAAATAACTAGCACTATGTATGAACAGTGCATAGCCTCACAAAATTTACATAAAGTTTAAACAGTTTTTCTATTTGAAAAAAAACAAACTATTTTATTTCTTTTTGGAATTTTCATCTCTGCTTCACCCTCACTGGTTTTAATGGTTTTGAGATCAAAGACTAAAATTATCAGAGTCCATCTACTGTATGACTTTTCTCAAGACTCTTTTTATTTATTTTCAGGTATTAAAGTTGTACACAACTAATGCTACTGAGGCATGTCCAGAGATTAAAGATAAGGAAAAATTCAGTCATAAGCAAAGAGGTTTCTGTTTGATTTTCAAAGAAGCAGCTAAAAGGGGAATATTTGTGGTAACAAGAATGCTACTTTGCTTTGGGAATTTAAAATGTGACAAAATTGCCATTACTCAAATAATGAATGAATACTTCCAGCTAGCACACACAACATTTACGTTTCCATGTTGTTCTAAATATGCAATTTTACCTTTAAAAAAATTTGAAATATGAAGAAGTCACAGACACATGAAAAATTTCTAAAATTTTCCAAAATTGGTTTTGGAAATAATTGTCCTTTGCTTCTTCACCTCCATTAAGTATTCTCAATAAGTTGGTGAACCCCCAAAAGGCTGCAGTTTCCCATTAGACACTAAAATAAAGTGCGTGGCACAGCCAACGCACCAACGCAGTTCTGCAATAAAGAGAAACAGCATTTATTTTGTTAAAACAAAACAAACAACAAACAAAAAACAACACCCGAGGTTTTGAGAGTCATCATACTTGGCATCTCCACTGGAAAAATGCACTGGCTGCAAGTCCATCGGGTATTTGGTTTCTAAAAGATTACGCAGTCCAAGAATAACTGGTAGGCAATGCTGTTTTAACAAATTTTTCTCAGTTTCTAAATTTTAGTCCAGTGTCACAGATCTATTTACTCATTTGTACAGTCTCTTTCATATTATATTGTATTACTGGCTTCCTAAAATAATCTAGTATTCTAGTGTAATTTTAATTAATATACAGTAGTTTATGAACTGTAGCACTTTGCAGCAAAATGAAACTGACTTAAGTTTTACAAGCATTTTAATGCAGCATGTTTCTACTAAGCAAAATTTCTCACTTAAAAACTCCATAAACATTTTCTAAATAACTCAGCATGAAATAACAATATACTACTCAACTATTGTGATCATTTGCACTTTCTGAATTTCCTTGTGGTATTCTCTCATGACATTGTCCTAGAAGGAACAAAACCCTGAAGTAACAGAGGATTCATATTAAGTGAAATGCTCACATCATATTTATAATTTTCAAAGTCTTTACAAGATTATGCTGCTTTTTCGTGGCAATTAGCCGGGAGCTGGATCAGAAGTGAAGCAGCCCCCTCAAAAAAACAGCACAAAAGAGTTAACAGTTGGTGACTTGACCCATTACACTGACCCTCAATAAAACCTTTTTCTTTTTTATTTTTAATATTGTTTACATAGTTGAGAGGGATACACACCCATGTGGGCCTCTGATTATGGAGGAGAGGGTAGGGTGAGTAGAGTAAATGTTTCTTTCAAATTTTTTCTTTTTCTCTTGTATCTGGGACGGAGGAAGGGTGCTCCTTGCTTTCACCCAGGGATCGGACAATCATCTGGTGATACCCTAAGAGACTCTATAATAACTCTGCTTTTCAAATATATAAAACAAATCTTCAAAAAAAAAATCCCTCAGGTCAGTTGTGTGATATAGTGGGTAAAACCGCCATCTACAAACCCAGCATCCCATATGGGCCCTGGTTGAAGTCCCACCTTCCATATGTACCATTTCTTCTTCAACACCCCTCAGATAGTACACATCATTATTATGCCTACTTCCTATTTTTTCTAATAAGGCTGGAAATTCTTCAAGGGAAGAAACTGTCATGACCTTCTTGACTATGTTTCAGCACCACCTAATTTGCAACAAATGCACAATGTTTGCTGATCAAAATACTAAGGCAATTTCTAAGATATGAAATAAGCTTTAGAAAAATTTCTCTGTGTTTGTATTTTTTTCAGAAATATTGCTAATAAATAAAAGAGCTAATAAATGAATATACCACTGGAAAAGAAAAAACACTGCATCTTCTATAGAATGAATTATGGTTCAGCAAATACTCTTACTCATTCACTCACAAATACTTATCAATTGCCTAATGAGCACCAGACATTGTACTAGGATCTGCAGATATATCAACAATAAGACAGACAGAAGATCCCTGTACCTTTAGGGATTTTCCATTTTAATGGACTTAAATTATTGTGACAGCTTGTTTATCTACTATGGTTTAAATGGTCTTATCTCACCCCAACCCCCCCCCGATATTCATATTTTATAACCTAAAACTCAATTTGACAGTATGAAGAATGGTGCAGGCCCTTTAGGAAGTAACTGAATCAAGGTTTCCAACCCCAGGGATGGGATTAGCGCCCTGACAAATCAGGCTGAGGGGAGCTGTTACCTTGCCCTTTCTTAGAACACAATCAGCAGCAGACAACAAGCCCCCACC